GGGTCGTGGGGTGACGAGCTGGGTGGGGTGCCGTCGTGGGGTGACGAGCTGGGTGCCATCGGGGGGACAAGCTGGGTGCTATCGTGGGGTTACAAGCTGGGTGCCATCATGGGGGTGAGCTGGGTGCCATCGGGGGGACCAGCAGGTGTATCTGTGTGGACCACGTTTTTGTGTCGGGGGCGAGCGCTGGTGGGATGTTGGCCCAAAGCGTGACTGAGCTCTTTCTGGACACGTTTAGATGCAGTGCTGAGGGACATGGTGTAGGGGAGGACTTTGTAGAGTAGGGGAGATGGTTGGACTCGATGATCCCAAGGGTCTCTTCCAACCTAGACCATTCTATGTTTGCAGCCAAGCTCTTAAACATGGAAGGGAAGGGCTGCAGAGCTGGCCAGAGCCCTCTGAGGGGGGCCAGGGGTGGGCACCAGCGGGTGGGATGCTCCTGGTGCTGGGTTTCTGCCCCACGAGCCTTTGGCTGCTGCATTTCTGCCAACCTGGGAGGACAGAGGAGTTGGCTTTGTGTATCCCAGATCTTTGGGTCTAATGTTGAGGCTTTAAGATGATTCCTGGGTGTACAACTAGGAAAAACAAAGTGTCTCAAAAAAAAGCAACAGTGTCAAAGATGATTTCCTCCCCTCCAGGAAAACATCTCGGTTTACTCAAGTGTAAATGCCAAACCCACAATCCGAGGAGCCTTTCTGCTCCCTGCCTTGGCTCTGCTCGCTGGTGTGACTGCTTAGTGTTTTGCTGTCTCCCTCCCGTTACAACGAGAGCAGATGTTCCTCACCCAGTGGGATAAGAACAGATTTTGGGGGATGCCTCCTACTTCAGGCTTAGACCTGGGAGGTTTTCCTCAGGCTGGACATGCTTTTTCCAGGGCTGATCCTGTGAAGCATTGCCCTGAGCCTCCTGCAGGTTTGGCAGAATGATGCTTGTAGGGGGAAGCAGAAATATTCCGTGGTGGTCAGACTCCTGCTCCCAGCTTGGGCAGGGCAGGACCCCCATCCCTCTTGGGGGGCAGCTGGCAGTGGGGCAGCACACTGGGTGCAAGATGGAGCCTGGGGTGTCCACGATCCCTCTAAGGCTCCTGGTGTGTGCCCAGGTCTGTGGGGAGAGGTGCTGTGGGGCGGTTTGCCCCACGAGAGGAGCACAGGCTGCAGCTCCCACCCAAGCCCAGGGGTGCTGAGTCCCTGCAGACCCTCTGCACAGAAAAGGGCCACGTGTACCCCCTCTGGGCTACGGAGGGCACGGGTGTGATGACTTCTGCTAACCCAGGGCTTGCTTGAGACCACCTTGTCCTCTGGTTTTAGGTTGGTGATAAGGTGATGGTCCTGGCTAGGTCAGGGCTCTGGCAAGAAGTCGTGAACGTACCGGCCAGTCATACTTTCCCCATGCCCGAGGGGATGAGCTTCGAGGAAGCGGCTGCTCTTCTTGTCAACTACATCACTGCCTACATGATCCTGTTTGACTTCGGGAACCTGAGACCCAACCAGAGCGTCCTCATCCACATGGCTGCAGGTAAATAGTTCTTGCCAACCTGCGCCGAGACTCTTGGTCTCAACGTGCAGCTTCTGAGTGGGTGACACGGGTGGGGGAGCAACTGGAGAGGGGCTGGACTGAGAGGATGTCACCTGCCAGGTGCCTTCACACCGACCCAGGCGCTGGCAAACGCTGAAACCATCTCCCAGCAGCCGGGGTGGGTCTCCCCCAGCATGTCCCAAGCATCAGCCTGCCCAAAGAAAGCTTTTCACTGGTTTCACTGAATTTTAGAGTTGGAAGGGACCATAGAGATCATCTAGTCCAACTCCCCTGCTGAAGCAGGATTGCCTAGAGTTACAGCATGTTACTCAGGAGCATCCAGGAGGGTCTTGAAAATCTCCAAGGAAGGGGACTCCACACCCTCCCTGGGCAGCCTGTTCCAGGGCTCTGCCACCCTCACCGTGAAGAAGTTTCTCCTCTCATTTGAGTGGAACCTCTTCTGTTCCAACTTGTGCCCGTTGCCCCTCGTCCTCTCACTGGGAACCACTGAAAAGAGTCTGGCTCCCTCCTCCTTCAACCCACCCTTTAGGTACTTATAGGCATTGATAAGGTCTCCCCTCAGCCTTCTCTTCTCCAGACTAAAGAGTCCCAGCTCTGTATTCTGTACCCTCCTGGCTCTGCAATGGGTACAGAGAGGGGTGATGTTCCTGTCCAGAGGCTTTTCTGACAGCTGGGGCTGTTTGCTTCTAAGGCTTTCTCACTGCTGGTTTTCAGGTGGTGTGGGGACTGCTGCCATCCAGCTGTGCAAGACCGTAGAAAATGTCACCATTTTTGGCACAGCGTCTGCCTCCAAGCACGAGGGGCTCAAGGAGAGTGGAGTTGCTCACCCCATTGACTACAGAACGATGGATTACGCAGAGGAGGTCCGGAAAATCTCTCCCAAAGGTACTTTGTGGTGGGGGACGATCTATGTCCTGCATTTCTTTCAAGTGGAAAGAAACTTTTAGTTACTTTCAATTCCCTCCAGGTGTTGACATTGTCATGGACCCCCTGGGAGGATCCGATACGTCCAAAGCATTTAACCTGTTGAAGCCCATGGGCAAACTCATCACGTACGGTGAGTGTGAGTGGCTGCTCCAGCCACAGTGCTGGTCTAAGAGGGACTGTGGTGGCAAAGGTGGCTCTGGATCCAGCCACAGCGCTGGTGGAGGACGGACTGTGGTGGCAAAGGTGGCCCTGGATCCACAGGGAGGGTGTCACTGCTGCTGGCTGCTCTCTCTGTGTTCAGTCCAATTATTTCCCAAAGGCTTTAGGATGCTTCTCCTGGGTGAGGCACTGAGGGGAGGGAGGTTTGTGCCTTGTCCTAAGAGCTCTGGTCACAGGCCCCAAGGCTCTGCCCTCCCATGGTGAGATCCCTCTCCGAGTGTGAGCTGGTGCCCACAGGGGAAGCTGGAATGTCCTCACGGAGGAACGCTGGCACAGCTGCTTTGTCCAGGCTGACTTAATGCACAGCACTAATAGAGCCTTGCTTTTCTCCTAGAGGATGTGTGGGTGACGAGGTTTGAGGCTGCTGAATACTTATCTCTCCATTCCCCAGCCCTGAAACACTGTGATTTTGTCCCGTAGACAAAAGCCCTCACACAGCCCCCAACGGGATTCCAGACACTTGCACCACTGTGCAGCCTCTGCTGTCCCAGCTCGGTGGCTCCCCTGGAGAAGCCTGGCTGCAGGAGGGCAGTGCTGTCCTGCCAGCCTGGATAGGACTCATAACCCTCCCCTCCTTCTGCCCGAGCTCCAGTCGAGCTGCTGCCCTCCTAAGAGAGGAATTGATCTATATTTTTGCAATATATGGGTGCCAATAATCCAAATTCTGCATATCTTGAGGCTGAGGCAGGTACTTGCTTCCATTGAAGGTTGACTGGGCAGATCCCAGTTCCACCAGATCCAGTTCTCACCTCTCTCCTCCATCGTTGTGAGTGGCTGTTGCTCTGTGTGTTGTCTGAGCTGGTGGGATGCCCACTGTCTCTCAGGCTGTGTTGATTCCACCTCATTGCTGCTTGTCTCTTCTTTTTAGGGGTAGCAAACCTGCTCACTGGGCAGAAGAAGAACCTCATGGCTATGGCTAAAACCTGGTGGAACCAGTTCAGCATCAACGCCTTGCAGCTCCTCCACCATAACAAGGCTGTGTGTGGCTACCACCTTGGATATATGGATGAAGAAGTTGAGCTTGTTGGAGGTGTTGTAGCCAAGCTGATTAGCCTGTACAGTCAAGGCAAAATCAAGCCCAAAATAGACTCTGTGTGGCCCTTTGATCAGGTAAGTCTGAGCTAATGCACAGGCTGGCAGCACCCAGAAATTACTGGGTGATTGTTTTCTGCACAGTGAGCTCTGCATCGGTGGGAGCACCTTGTTCTTGGGGGCTGAACTGTTGCAAATGTTTAATCACCATCTGTTCTCAGACAGCCAGTGCCTTTTTCCTTTTAAGATATTAAGGGGGAGTGAAGTGGCCGGGCTCTTCTGCTGCAGTGCACAGAACAGGGCAAGGCCAGACAGTGTCCCTGGGGAGCAGGGGGGGTGCTCAGCTGCGCTCTGGGGGTGGCAGCTGCCTGTGGAGGGGCTGGATTGTGCATCAGGCTGGAGACTGCCATCGTCTGCACTTTGTAATTAAGCAGACGGCTGGGAAGGTTGCTGCTGCCCTTCCAGCAGTGAAAAAGAGCCCAGGCAGTAAAGCAGAATGAAGATGATGGCAGGGAGTGGCAGTTTTTTTCAGCAGCTCTGCTCTGCTCACTATTGTTCCATTGATGTGTCCAGGCAGGGTCAGGTTCTTCCCTTGGAAATCCTTTCTGGGGTAGGACTAAGTGGAGGGGAGCGAAGGACTTGCTCATGATCAGGTGCTCTTAGTACCTGAGAACTACTCTGATGCAAATGCTGAAGGAAAACTCTTGATTCCAGGCCTGGCCCAGGTGCTGTTTTGCTTAAAAATAATGATAATATAATAAAAATCTGTTCTGTGGTTGTGAAGATGGTAGAAGCATTGTCCTTCTGGATGTTGACTGGGTTTCTGCAGTGCTCTCCTCTGTTTGGAGAGGAACCTGTGGTGACACACACTTTGTTCTTCCACGGTTTGTGTAGCAGAACATCCTTATGTGTGTCACAGTTGGTCTGTGAATTCTTGAGGAGAGTTTTCCATGGGGAAGGCTGGGGTAGCTGCCCAACTCTGTCCAAAATGCGTCATGCAGAGGCACCCAAATGCTTGGCACTTCCTTGGTCTGCCAGGAAAGCTGCCTCTTGGGTAGCCCTCAGGCTGGTGTGGGTGGACCAAGGGGCCCAGGAAGGGCATGACCGCACTGGGTGGTGGGTGTGGGTCTCATCAGATCCATGTTCTTCCAGGTGGCAGATGCCATGAGGCAGATGCAAGAGAAGAAGAATGTTGGAAAAGTCATCCTGGTTCCTGAGGCACCCAAGGAAGAATCCAAAAAAGAGGAGAACTAAGGAGAAGAGATGTGTGCAGATTGTGAATTCATGGTTTAACTCCCTGATCTTTGGGACCTGGAAATGGACAGATCAGTAGCTTCCATCTTCAGTTCACCAGTACAAGAACATCGTGGTTAAGGTTCAGATGAGGTTTGCATGCTCTCGCTGTGACTGACCCTTTTCCAGCCATGCCTCCTGCCCTAGCTCTCTGTTTTGAAGCCTGTTTATTTCATACATTTTTTTTTTTTTCTAATCACTTGTTTCTCTTATTGAATTTCCAAACTAACCTGATTTTTCTCTGGCAGCACAGCTGAAGCTTCCGGGCAGTTGGTGATTAACAACTGCCCAGCCTCTCACTGTACATACTCTACCAACTGCCAGGTATCTCCCCGCACACAGCCCTGCTGAAGCAGTTGTGTTGCTGCTGTTGAGAACTTGTTCAGCAGGAGAACGGACCCACCTTAGGATGTGTCCTCAGCCACTGGCCTGGTTTAATTCTAACACGGGCTGCTCTTCTGTTCCCACTGACACCCCCCCTCTTTCCCCTCTGCTTTCGTTGGCCTCCAACACCAGTCAGATAGTGACAGGTCACGTTGTCTTTGCCTTATGAATCCTGGCATTTTGGAGTCTATGGCATATTGCACTTAATTTGCAGTCACTTCTCTGTGCAGTCGGCAAATAACCCGACGGGCTGTGTCTGAACACAGGAGAAAAGTTTCAGTTAGGTAACTTGATCTTGTCCATTTTCTGATTCCAAACCATATAGGGAGACCTAAACTGTGTCTGATTTCTAGAGACCATAAGGACTCAACTGTGTCTCAAATGACTGGAAAAATTGGCGTTGGCTCTGTGCTTTATTAATGTTGGGCTCCAATTGGTATTGTTAAGGCTGAACTTCACCCTCGTTGTTTGTATTTCCAAGGGCTGTGGTGTTGAATCAGACTTCAGCAAGATGGGAACAAAATAAGCCCCTGTTAGTGCTTGCTTTGTGCTGTGCCCTGTTGTGGTTTGGGAAGGAACTTGCAAGAGCCAGTCCTATAAGCCCGAAGCTTCTCAGGAGCCCAGGCTGGCTCTTTCTGTGCCACGCACCCAGCAAAGCTGTTGCCAAGTCACCAGTGTAGAGGGTAAATGCCCAGACTCTTGGCCTGGGCATCTTGAGTAGCTTAAGTTGTGCTTTCTGTTCTCTCTAGCCAGCTAGGTGGATGTCAGCTCAGACCAGCTCCCACCTCGTGGTTCAGTGCTGCAGAAGAGCTTGACTCTTCTTCCCCTGACACTGCAAGTCTTGGGACCCCTGGGCTCTCTTCCAGCACCAAAGGTTTATGAGCTGCTCGGGGTGTTCTTCCCAGACCAGAACTCAGTTTCTCTTCCTCTTTCCTTCCACGCATTTGGAGATGTAGCTGTGCAGAGACCCAAGCCTAGTTCTGTGAGCACTTCGTGTCCTGGGTGGTGCCCCCATCCCTGCTGGACTCCGTGTCCAGCCCTGAGTGACTGTGGTGCTGTTTGTGCTTGCTTTGAGGCTTTGTCATTGGTTGTGGGTGCTGTCAGGCTTTTATAGACTTCATTTTGGATTTGAAAAGGTGAACCTGAGGGTGCCAAGAAGAGCTGCCTGTCACGGAGGAGCTCAGGCTGCAGGACCAAACCTCTCTACCAGGCTTCTGCAGGAGGGAAGGCACCGGGTGGGCAAAGGGCTCCATGTGTGAAGCCCCTTGGCTGCTTGGGAGCAGCCAAGCTCCGTGCAGGGCTGGGGGGTTCCTGTGGGGGTGAGGAAGGTGGCTCCTTCCTCAGCCTGCTCTATCTCCAGCAGCACAGCTTGTATTTCAGGTGCTTGGGTCTGCCCCTGGTTCTGCCACCTTTCAGAAACACGTGGGCACAGCCTCCAGGGCACCTGCCCTGGGCACCTTTAAGTATTAAACCACCTTCAGAGGAGGCCAGAGCCCTGTCACAGGTCCCTGTCAGTCTGTCTCTCGCACTTGATCCATGAACTTCATAAACATGGTCTGATGAAACTCGCAAGCACAACCCTTAACCTTTCTGAATCCAAAATCTCGTTGCTTCTCCTCCTCCACCTGCCCTACCCTGCTAATTTAGATTAAAATCCAACAGTGTCTCATGCTGCTTTGCCAGGTCTGACAACAGAAGGACTGTCTTAAATTGCTGAAATGGGAAGTCTGGACCTGTTCTTTGAGAAATTGGACTTGACCTTGATGAAAGAGCCGCGTGCTCAAATGGTGCACAGCCTTGTGCCTCTCCGGGTTCTGCACGCTTGGAAAGGGGAAAACCATCAAACTGTGTTTTGCTGTAACATCCTCCCCCTGTTTTGCTCTCGGCCGAGCGCTCGGTGCCTTACGTGGGTGGCCTTGGGTCGGGGGCACGGCCGGGCTCCCGCCGCAGCGGGGAGTGGGGTCTCGCAGCCCCCCCATGGACACCCTGACACTGCCTCTGCTGCACGGCAGAAAACAGCATCTCAGTGCCTTCTGCACGCCCTGGGAGGACTGGGAAGTCACTGGAGCCTTTTCCATTCTGGCCTTTTCAAAGTATTGCCAAAACCCTGTTAACGACTCCGGTGAACGCCGGTGTCGTCTGCCTTACTGTGAATGAGATGGTCCCTTTCCGTGTCTCTCAGCCTTTCCTGGGCCCTCCTGGTGGTTCTTGGATGGTTCCCCCATCCAGAAGAGCCTGTGCAGAGCCCTTGTCTCCCCCAGGGTGGCTCGAGCAAGGCTTTATCTTCTCCTGAGGCTTTATCTGCTCCAGCCTTAGCTCTTGGGAAACAGTCCTGGCTCCTGACACTCTCTGGGTGGCAGCTCCTCTATCTTCTACCTGTGAATTCCTGGGGCCCTTCTGAGGGCTCAATTACTGCCCCTCAGAGTTCAGCACTGACAGATTAATCTCCCTCAGTAGCAACAATGTTTTCTTAGAAAAACCGAGATTAAAGCTGACCTTGCTCCTCTCTGCCTCCCTGGTCAGTGCTCTGCTCCGGGTGCTCGTGGCTGGTCAGTTTTTTTTTTGGTTTTGCTTTTTTTTACCTTTTTTTTTTTTTTTGAACAAACATTTTATGGGCCAATAAGTACAGAACCTCTGTAAAACAACTTCAAGTGTCTTAACTCAAAGCTAACCAGCAGGTTTGTATACCAAAGCAAAAAAAAAACCACAAACCAACAAAAACCCTAGGATAAAATCATTCCACTCAATGTTGCTTAACTGTTCAGGGCGCAGTTGTGCTCTTGAGGAAAGGGGAGGTTCCTGTGCTTGAATTGCACGTGCCATTCCAGCTCTGATTGTCTGACCCCAAGGTTGTGAGGAGTCCCAAGGAGAGTGGGAGTGAGGAGCTCGTGGGCAGAGGAGGGGGGTCCCAGTCCCCATCCCTGCCCATGGCCAGGGGCTGCTCAGCACAGGGGGTCCTGGGCTGGTGACTCCCATGTTGTTACTGCAGTTGCCTTCCCAAGTTGCCTTTTGGACAAAACACAGCTCCTTTGCTATCACCAGGCAGCTTTTATCACGTTTTTTGGCTCTCTGGTTTCTCTCAGTGTTGTGAATCAGCCTGGGCTTCGCAGGGGAGTGTGTCCCCAGCCAAGGGCTTTGGAGTCGGGGGGAAGGAGTTTAACTGGACATTTCATTTGGGAATTGACTGACTGGGGAAGAAGTAAGAAGCATTGTGGGCCTCAGGCTTTAATTGGTGCGGGATCCTGGCCCACGTACAGCTGCTGTCATAGGTGTAAAACCACTCTTGCTGCCTAATGAGGTCTCTAGTGTGCGAAGCCCTGGTGATGGTGAAGCGTGGCTGGCAAGTAGTACGTGAGTGTGATGTGACACACATTAGACTCTGAGCCTCTTACAACATATGGTCTGGTCTGTACTGTCTGAGTCACGTTTGTTTGCAGATCCTCATCCTACAGACACATCAACAATCTTTGTTTAAAAAAAATATATTCTGCTTTGTGTGTGTAACCAAGTTGGACAGAAAGCACGTGTGCCAATGCTGTTTACATGACTATAATGTGTAATGCTCCTGTCTAATGTTACCATATGCCTTATGTGTGTCAAATGTTAATTAAAAGCATAACAAAACTCTCCGTGCTGTGCTGCTCTGTCTTCTGCTGGAATGAACCCTCTGTCCCCAGCTCAGCCTCTGGGGCACTTGTGTTGCTTCTTGGGGTGGACACATCCAGTTTATAAACCCCAACTCTCCCAGGGTGAGAACGTGCCTCTGCTCTCAAGGACAAGTGTTAATTTTTGCCTCGAGTGGTGCATTGATCTTCTAAACCCTGTCCTGGAGGGCAGCAATGGTGATTTTTGTTTGCAAAGCCCTTCCATGGCTTCGCTCTGTGTCAGGGTTTCTCTGGAGCGAGTTGGGATTGAGCTGGGGGCCCTGGGGTGATGGTCAGACAAAGCATGAACAGCCACTACTCAAAGATGGGGGGAATAAATCACGTTTATTTGTGCTGCTTCATTAATGCCTGTCCCTGCCTGCGTGTTCTGGTGGGAGGCAGCTGCCCTCGGCGCTGGAAGCTGCTTGTGCCCCCCCAGGAGAGCACCCGGTCGCCTGCGGCCCCTGGAGCAGGTGCTGGGGAGGACCTAGAGCCTGGGGCTGCTGGCTCCGGGGTGGAAATGTCTGGGTGAGCAGCTGACACTAATGACAGCCTGGTCCCAGCACAGGCTCTGGTGGCAGCTGAGCTGGAACCTGCCTGTAGGGGCCAGAGGGGGAAGAGACTTCCAGAAGATGGGGCTGGGCTCCTGCCCAGGTTGGGGTGATGCTGCTGAAAGCCAGGGCTCAGCCTGGAGCTGGCATGGGAACGAGCTGCCTGGTGAGGACAAGCATCCAGGAGGGGCTGGAGTTCCAGGGGAGCTCTGGTCCACGCTGAGGCTTTCGGGGGGCAGGGACAGGGGTGCTGCTGTCATTAACGTGCAGGTTTCCGGCTGCCTCTGGGGACACAAAGGCTCCTTGGACAAACACCTCCTTTTTGCTGAGCTGTCTGTGTTAAGCTGCGTTTTTTTTTTACCAGCTGGGAAGGAAGGAGAAGTGAAGGCACGGGCTGTGGCTGCTCAGGCAGGGAGTCTCAGGCGATGCCCAGTTTCTTCAGCACCGTGCAAACCTCGCGGAGATACTGGGCGTCCGGATAACCGTTCCTGTGGGGCAGAGGGAAGTGCTGTCAGTCCTGCTGACGGTGCTAAAACCCCCGAGGGCAGCCACAGTTTATTTTTTTGCCCCATCCCTTCACCAGGGGCTGAGGGTGGAAGTCCTGCTCCCAGGGAGCTGCTGCTGCAGAGCCCTGTCATGGGAAAAGTCAGGAAGCTGTGAGGGAACAGGGCCCAGAATTCTTGGCCACAGAGAACTTCTGGGTGTGGGATGGGGAAGGGCTTTGGCTCCAGCTGGAGGGTGCCAGGGCTGCTCTGCCACACCACGGCTGCCCTGGGAGCTGAAGCAATGGGAGGCACCAACTCAGCCATCACGAGGGCCTGGGAGAGGCACCCATGCCAGGGTTTGTTGATCCAGAGCCCATGGTTCTCCTCCTCCAATTACTAAAAAAACAAATTAGGGGAGGACTTTGTAGTTGTAGGGTAGATGGTTGGACTCGATGATCCCAAGGGTCTCTTCCAACCTGAATGATTCTATGATTCTATGAAATTGAACCCCACACCTGGAAGCTTGGGGTGAGCTGGACCGTACCTGGCTTTGCCTCCATCCCAGGAGGTTTTGTGTGGGATAAGGCCCCATGTCACTCTCTCCTCTCCATTAAAGGACTTGATCTGGAACGTCAGCCCCTGCTCAAATGCCTTCTTCAGCAGCACTGCTGTCTTCTGCCCTTCCGCGTTGTCAGGCAGGAAGGCACAGAAAGTCCCCCCTTTGTAAGGCTGTCCTGGGCGGGGGTCGCCAACCTTAGAAGAGGAAGAAAGCATTTTAAACAACAACAACCCGAGCGCTGTGCCTCTGAGACTCTGTCCAGTTTGAAAACACACAGAGCGTGGGCTGACACAGACTCTTTGAACCAAAACCAGAGGTCCCATACTGTTCAGTAGCACCAAGCTGCCCCCAAACCTGGTGTGGAGCTTTTTCCTTCCCCAGCTCAGCATCTCTGCTGCACAGAGATGTAGCCGCCCCCCTAGCCCCCCAAGAGAAGGTGGGCACCTACCCCTTGCACGCCATCAGGGATGGTGTAGGCAACCTGGAGCGTCGGGTGGCGATAGTAGCCAGGCAGGTTCTGAGACATGAAGGAGATCTTGAACGTCCCCGAGATCTTGCGGCTCGGGGCAACCGAGGAGGAGCTGCAGCAAGCCAGCCGCGTGCCATCCACTGCGAAACACGTCCTGCACAAAGCGTGACCGCAGGGGGCCTGGCAGGTCACACCTGAGCCCTGGCAAGCGTCACACCGGCCCAGAGGGGCCTGGCCGCTTTCCTGTCCAAGGCTGGGGCCCCTCTGCCATGAGGAGGGGTCAGGCTCCTCCTGCACATCGCTCCTGCCTGGGGGGAGCAAGGCCTGTTCCTGGCCCCCCGGCTCGGCTGCCGGTGATGGTTCGGCTGTGGCCACGGGTGGCTCAGTAGCCACAGCCCGGTATGGCCATGTGGGGAGGGAGCGAGGGGCTCCATCTGCCATGGGAAGGGGGGAGCGCCGCTGACCCATGGCTTCAGTGTGGCCTCCTCGGCTCTTGTCTCTTGCAAACTGGAATCTGTCTGGCAAAACCTGCTTCAGCCGTGCCAGGTCAGCCTCCCCTGCAGAGAGTTTGGTCTTCATCTGTTCCTGGGACACCCTCAGGCCAGCAGGACTCGGCTTATCCACCACGCTAGGGCTCAGAAGGCTGCTTCCTCCTTGCACAGCCCCAGGATCAACATGGTCACCGGCCTCCTCCTGACCCAGTGCCTGCTGGAACCTCCAAGGACTGGGGGACCTCTTGTCCTCAAGCTCTGGCAGCCGGGAAGCCCTGAGCAGCTCTGTGGGCTCTGCTCTGTCACTAATGTCCAGGTGCAGGGGCTCCAGGCCGTCGGGAAGGGCTGAACCCAGCGCTGCGTCCCGGCTTCTGCTGGAAGGGCTGGACCCCAAGAGCCCTGCACTCTCCGGCGCTGGGTTCAAGGAGGAAGGCTTCATTCCACGGAGTCTCCTGGAGGAAAAGGTGTGGAAGGCCTCAGCCACCGCCGGCAGCACCTCCTTGGGGCAGGCAAGATACAGCCTGTGCTTGTCTTTGCTCAGCCCAACCTGGGGGCAGTTCCCTCGCACCAGGCTGCACAGTTCACTCAGGGCACCGTCATCCGGGCCCTCCATGGCCAGCTCGGCGTAGCTCACGCTCTGGCACACGAGGTCCGGACATTTCTGTACAAGAGCTTCCACCTTCCACTTGGCCTGCCGAAGCTTGCTGGGGTCGGTCGCCCGCAGCGTCAGCACCGTGCAGTCCCCGCTGCGACGCTCCGAGACCCGCACCGCCCCGGCCCCGCACAGCTCGGCCACGGCGGAGCCACAAACGTCCCTCAGGTAGGACCACTGCAGGGAGTCCAGGCTCATCTCCTCACTCACCCCGCCGCCCGCCACCGGGGACGTCTCCCCATCCTTTGGCCTTGGCAGGGAGAAGCTGCTGGAACGTCGCAGCAGAGGCCTGGGTTCAGAGGGTTTAGACTCTAAATCCGAAGAGGTCTTTGTCGTGGCAAAGGTACGAGACGTGGTAGTGAGTGGGTGGTGCTTGGTGGGACTTGAGCCTTTGGAGTCCCCAGGGTGCCGCAAAGTGCTGTTTTCTTTGTCCCCAAGAGAAGACAGAGCCTTGTGTCGTGTGAGCCTGGCACCTCCTCTCACCTGATCCCATTCTTCGGGGCCCTTCTGCTGAGACTCTACATCTACACCCACATCTGTGGTACCAACACGGGGCTGGTGCTGCGGGGTGGGTGCTGCTGGGTCAGCTGGACCAAGAGCATCGCTCTCGCACAAGTGCTTTCCAAAAAGCTGTGCCTGTCCCACTGGTGGCGAGTCCCGAGCCCGAGCCCCGTCAACCCTCAAGGAGCTGAAGTTGGCAGCCAGCTTGAGCTCAGCTCTCGGCTCTGGCCTGACTGGGTTGAGCCCCGGGGTGTCCACGGGCGCCTTGGGCTTCTGCAGCGCAGCCCCCGTGGGACCAGGGGTCGTGGGGTGTGAGGGCACGGAGCCACCAACTGCATGTGCACCCCTCCTGGTGCTGGAGCCCTGAAGGAACTGCTTGGCCTGGGACACATCAACGAGGTTCCCGATCAGGTAAAGCTGCTTCTCATCCTCGTGGCAGAGCAACTGGGGATACAGCTCCTGCAGCTCCTGCAGCAGAGCCCGGAGAGCCTGGCTGCCCGTACACACTCCTCCCTTGGTGATCTTCTCCTTGCGCAAGCTCACCTCCAGCTGCTGGTAGAGCTGCTGCAGGGCCAGGCGGGCCTCTCGCAAGGCCTCCAGGTCCCCTGACGTACCCGCAGATGGTTCGAGGTACAGTATGGCGATGCCATCGCTGCTAATGTCCACCACATCCACATGATGCTGGCGCAGCACCCCTTGGTACTCGGCAGCACAGAACCTCTGCATGTACAGGTAAATGTCCAAGTCCATCACCAGGGAAAAGTCCTCCAGCTGTTCCACAGCTTCTCCATCCACCGGCTCCCGAGGTGATGGGACTTTAGCTGCCTTTTCATGCACCTGGTCCAAATTTGGCAGGTTTGTCGTCTCTTGGGCTGACTCAACGGTGTCAGGCACTTCCTGGTGGTCGTGTGTTCTGGTGTCTTTGGCCTCATGGTTGGAACCTGGCAAGAGGATCTCTCCAGTGGCTTGGTTCCTGAGGTTCAGGCTGCCCAGCAAGTCTCTGATGAAGGCCTGAAGCTCTGTGAATGGTCCCTTGACGATGCAGTGGGTGTTCTTGGAGTCAAAGTTTAACTGCACATTGCTGTAACTTTTATGCAAGTTCCTCAGGAGGGTTTTGCCAGCAGAAAGCTTGCCATAGTCAACTATCACGCAAGCACCTATGAAGATCTGCAAGTAGAGAGCAAGGGAATGAGAGAGTAAGGACCAAAAATAACTCCCTCCAAGGCACAGGGGGAGGCAAATGCACCAGACACTTGCCACAGCCCCTGCCTTATTAGGAGAGCAGAGATGACATGATCCACCACCTCTCCCTCAGCATCCTGCTTTCAAACGAGGTGGGAGCACCACACAGGCAGGACCAAAAGCCCCACCAGCCCAAGCCACTCTTGGACATTGCTCACATAGTCAAAAGCGAGGAAAGCAACGGGAAAATTGCAGAGCTGTGGCCCCATTTCTACACACCGGGAGCTCTGCAAACAGCCCAAACCCAAGAAACCCCCTAGCCCTTCTGCACCTGAGAGGCAGTCACCCCCTTGCTCTCCCAGAGCTTCAAGCCGTCTGACACTACAGGCCTGTGGGACGGTCTGCAGTGCCAGGCCAACTCCCACACCCTTGTTTTCAGTGCTCAGACACAAAAAAAATGTGAGATGTGGCTGCTGCCACACTCTCTTGAAACTGGAGAAAGAGGCAAGAACTCTCCAGAGCCTCCCAGACATCAGCATGGCTGCCTCCTCAGCTCTCCTGAGGAGAGAGGAAAAATCCACAGTGTGTGTCCAGCTAATGACACAGCAGGGGCATTAACAGGGTAACACCAGATGGGCTGGGGAAACGTGCCCCTTCCCTCCAGTCTGACCGTTGCGCCTTGCGGGGACAGGCACAAACACCAAACAGCCGCACGCACCACCCGCCGGGCTGTCCCCCCTGTTATTAGCACTGATAAAAAAATCATTCCATGATCTGGGGGATGGAGCACCTCTGCTCTGAGGACAGGCTGAGGGAGCTGGGGTTGTTCAGCCTGAAGAAGAGGAGGCTCCGGGGAGACCTAATAGCGGCCTTCCAGTACCTGAGGGGGCTACAGGAAGGCTGGGGAGAGCCTGTTTAGAAAGGCCTGCAGTGACAGGACGAGGGCCAATGGCTTCAAGCTGGAGGGGAGCAGATTTAGACTGGAGATGAGGAGAGGGTTCTTCACTGTGAGGGTGGTGGAGCACTGGGACAGGTTGCCCAGGGAGGTGGTTGAGGCCCCTTCCCTGGAGATATTCAAGGAGAGGCTCGACGAGGCCCTGGGCAACCTGGTCTAGTTGGGGGTGTCCCTGCTGACTGCGGGGGGGTTGGACTAGATGGCCTTTGGAGGTCCCTTCTGGCCTGGACCATTCTATGATTCTATGATTTGAATACGAATAAGAATGGGTTTGCTTGAAGCCTAATTAAGATTAAAGATTAAGATTAAAGGAGAGAGCGAGGTCTCCTGCCAGGAGCCCCCTGTCCCCAGGTACCTCATCGGGGCCGGGCTCCACGACGTGAGCCGTCACTTCCAGCGGGTACTTCTTCCCTCCCACCGACAGCGTGTGGTCCTTTGCCTTCAGGATCCTTTGGGCCACTGGATGAGAAAAGCCAGTAGCCACCGGCGTTAGCCCGGCCCACGAGGGGGGGATGGGGGGGGGACACGGACCGGGGGC